TGATACATTAACAATTACTTACAATGCTGAATAATACAAGTACAACAGATAGATAAAGTAAAAAATAAATATACCATCTTGTTTATGTGTAGCCAATGCGGTTTATGAAGAGGCCTGAATCTGGCATTGGACTGGCTGCTAGCTTGTGCTCGAGAAGAGTTCGAGTGCATAAGGCCTCTAGTGGCCACTGATGAGCCATATTCCAACATAGTCGACCTTGACTGTGAAAAGATGAACACCATTTCAACAAAAAGTTGTTGCTAAGATACTACATAATGATAGTCCTCAGAAATCAAATGTTACATCTTAGAGCAACCCTGCATATCCCTATGTGTGTTATTATGGAAGTCCAATAGCATTTGCACTCACGCTCCACTCTGCTGTCAGGAAGTCTGCATCAGAGAGGTACTCGCTGGTTCGTGCTATATCCTCCACATCCGAAAAGAAGTCAGGGTAGTTCTGATGCAGGAAGAGGTTGAAGAATTCCCCAGACATATGGGAACGCTCAATGACAAGCTAAGGAAAATTATCATAATCAAAAGATTGTTAGAACATTAAAGCAGATGAAACTTTTAATATAGTGCAACTTACAACATAAATTAATATTTACTTCAGGATCAACAAGTAGTTTGTCCCTCTGATGATCCGTTAAATGTGAAGGCAGCTTGGGTGCTTGAGAGCTTTCATAGCTTTCACCTAAAAATCACATGCCATCCATTGGTATAAATATGAATGAATTTACACACAGTTCATGATGTACAACATATAGTAATCGGAGAAAAACATTTCAAAATGGGAGTTGAAAATGACTAACGTTTGCAGTAGAGGATTTTCCCTAAAGCTCTGAAAAGGAAAAGTGAAGCATCTTTCCCTCCAATAGCTTGGCTTTCAACCTGCATGTCTGTTGATTTTGAAGACTTGCTCCTGCCCTTTGCCCTCACGACAGGTTTTCCTGTGGATTTGCCCTTCTTGGAAGCCCAGAGTCTTTTCTCCAGACAACTGTCTGAGAATCGATAAGAATGAATGCATAATTACAGCTATAAACTTATTTTAAAGAATAACAGAATAAATTAATTCTATATACTATATAAATAGTTTCAGTGGCTATTTTCTCACCGGTAAATGAAGAAAACTGCAAGCTGTTGATGGCACTGCGAATATCTCCTGAACTTCCTGAGCAAAGAAGATCTAGAGCACCTTTATCAGGAACAGAGATCTTGCCAGAACTCTGCAAAGACCATTTAAAGATACAGATATGCTGAGTGAAGTATTATGGATCTCGGGGTCAAAACTATCTGCTCAGAAGGCATAGAAAAGCAAACCACACAACCTACCTTTCCTGCCTCAATGGTTACAATGCGGCTTAGGACCTTCATCATACTGGTGGGGGCCACAGGGTTAAAACTGAAAAAAAGAGATGCTTTACCTATGACGACCTTGGGTTCGAATATTTGTAACTAAAGAGTTCTGAAAAATTAAACTGGTTGTATTTGTACCTAACGCTGTGAATTTCAAGTTCATGCAGAACATTCTTAAAGAGAAGTCTGGAGTTCTTGTCCCCGCTGAGACTATCGGACACAATCAGGACAAGTGGGCACCGGCCAGTCTTAATAAATTGCCTAAATGAACAAGCAAAAATAAGGACAATGATAATCAAGATACCAGTGACAACTAATTATTAACAATACTTCAAAATATAGTTCTAGTGCTCACCTGAGTATATCGTGCAAGCACCCTGGTTGCCTATAGAACTGGTTTGGAAATTCCTGAGATAAAACAAGAAACAATGGAAAAGTGTCACTCAGCTTCTCGATTTTAATTTAGTATTAATGTTCAGTTTCTCATCAATTTAAAAATCAATTGCATTTTACTAGCCCAACTCTTTCTCTTTTGTATAATGCATTTCAGATTTATGCAAAAAAAGAGTGTTTTTCAACATCAGTGATATTTTTGAAGAGCAGTTCTGTGCAACACCTCTATAAGAATTATTTTTCTGTCTTCAGTCACTTTCTCTCCGCTCATTTGTAGACGGCTGTATTTGTTGGCTCTTAGCAGGAACTCTTGGAATAACCCTGTTTGTGAGCTGCCATGGAAACTGTTAAACCTTGAATCTGTTAGAATAAAAAGGTCAGAGGAATAAGCTAAAAAAAAAAAAAAAACATTTCATAATATACAGAGAGACTGAGATATTACTTCATCCATATATGATTCTGATATGTGATAAAAATAAGGGTGCTAAATAATTATCATTGACTAGATATTACGCATGGTGTCACAACATGAACATCAGTCACGACTAGTAAGAAGAAGACTCCTGACCTGGATCAAAGCTTTGTGTGAACAAATCCTCCGCTTTGTACTGAGAGGTGGTGGAGGGATTTGACCACTCTTGGATCTGAAAATCCAAATCCTTGGCAAGGACTCGGACAGTTGCCGTCTTCCCACATCCTGAGGGGCCAGTGAGCAACAGAATGGCGCCAGCCTGTGGAGCAATAACCACAAATACAACACAGAGTATAAAAAACAATCCCCAAATGACTCTAAACATACATCTCCCAACATACAATACGTCATGCTTGTCAGACCTTTTTTGATTTGTCCAAATTAACTCTCAACCAGCTTTCAACTTCTTCAACTTTCTTTTTGTGGACTGCCAGTTCGGCCTGTCAGAAAGAAAAAAAAAACATTTAAAGCAACAAAGCTTGTAGATTGAGATAACAGCGATATGAAAATGTTAAGTAACAGACAAACGTGTTCTTAGGAGCACAATCTATCTCAGAGTAAAATAGTTTGTATGACCTAGACTAGAGCAGTGTTTCCCAACCGGGGTGCTGTCTGTCGAGAGCAGGGGTGCCGTGTAAAAAATCATTTAATATTTTTAACTCGTGCTACTGTACCAAAATTACCTCACTGTAAAATTAAAAAACACACTGAGTGAGCAAAAATTTCTAAGATAGCTAGTTATAATGGTAATTAAATAATGTTTACATATGAATAAAATGCTACATTAAAATCTGTCATATAAATTGGTCTCTTCATTAGAAATTAGCCTACTGATTGCCACCATTGATGGACAAAATTTTTAATAATATTAAAAATATCTGTATGACATTATATTCTGCAGTTCTTCCCTTTTGTACCGAATATATATACTTTTCAAATTATCATATCGAAGTTAGAATTTCAAATATTGTGACAAAATTCATTTTGTAGGGTGCCACAAGTTGGTTAAAATTTCCAAAGGGTGCCGCGACTAAAAAAAGGTTGGGAAACACTGGACTAAAGTACTCAGCCCTACTGTATGAAATCTAATCAAACTCATTGAAATCATCATAAGCTAGCTTTACTTCAGTCACACACCTAAAAGTGTTAGAGAGGCATTGGAACTAAATTTCAGGAAGGTAAATTTTCCAAGAACTGTACCAAGCTTTTTTGTACCTGCGATTGGGGAGCATACATATCCACCCAAGGCTCATCCTGGTCTGGTTTATGTGCTTCACTTGACACACTGATCTGGTTGCTGGACACATGAGAATCTACTTTCCTCTTCCTGGATTTTTTCTCTGCTTGGTTCCCAGTAGATGGCCACCGGGTAGTTTTGCTTTCCCCTGAGAGTGGCCCCTTTTTCAGGGACCTGTTCACTCCTCCCAAAAGTTCACCAAATGATGGTTCCACCCAGCTGTTTATCTTAACAGGAAATACAAGCAGAACACATAAAGTACATCAGCATCTGTAGATTCAGAGCATCCTCATTCATTCTCAGAGTGCAGAGGATCTTTTTGGATATGAAAAAAGAAAGAATGATCAAGATGTTACATACTTTTCCAGAGGACTGCTTTCCTCCCAGAGACAGCTTTGACATCGTCAATTCTGACGTCCCATTCAGTTACTCCATGCAAAACTGTGCTGGGATGAAAACCAAATCATTTACATAATTTATAAAACGGCAAAGATGGGATTCACCTCTGCGAGTTTACGAGAGGAGGACAGTAGTAGTAAATGTTAGTATAATTTCGACTATGTATAATCGCTAGTGGAGCAAACTTTACTATAAAACATGTTTTAGAAGAACTCGTATACCAGTAATCCAGACATTTAATAAAAGCGTTATCCGGAATTTTGGATTAAGTTTATTAATCAGAGTTCAGAAAGTTCGCTCCTGACCGTTAGCTCGACTTAACGAATGCTAGCAGTCATTGTCAAGTTATCAGGCCAAATCAACCAAACCGTGGCTAGTACACTGTTTAGGCAATACAGTATAAACTTACCCTGGTCATCTCTACAGAGGATTTTTGTAGAACAACAATGCCGACTATTTGTGTTTGCAAGTATCAAGTAACATTGTGCTAACTATCCCTTTAAAGCTGTGACGAACCGCCCCTCCGCTGGCGCATACTAATGGCGTCATCAAACACACGCCGCCACAATTTTGAACACGTTTTTATGTTGATCTATGCTGTGACAGTCAGGCACATCTTAAGATATGACCAACTGATTATTTACATATCATATGTTTTTGTATGCTTATTGATACTGAGCATCCAGCTGAGATTTGAGGAAAACGAGCTGTGTTATTAATTGCATTATTTCCACGTGTGATACCTTGCAATGAGGATCATGAAGAGACCAAACATTCTTCTTACAGGTAGTCTACATTTTATTAGGTTGTTCTTAATAAAAAAATGTAGTTTGAATGTATTAAGTAGGTATAGCAATGATCAACAATGCTAGTAATAATAATAATAAAATTGTTTTTTCATGATTGCTAAACATTGATATGCTTCCTCATGAACGGACAGGAACCCCTGGTGTAGGAAAGACCACTCTAGGCAAAGAGCTGGCTCAGAGAACAGGACTAAACTATGTGAATGTTGGTGATTTTATTAGGTTGTTCTTAATAAAAAAATTTAGTTTGAATGTATTAAGTAGGTATAGCAATGATCAACAATGCTAGTAATAATAATAATAAAATTGTTCTTTCATGATTGCTAAACATTGATATGCTTCCTCATGAACGGACAGGAACCCCTGGTGTAGGAAAGACCACTCTAGGCAAAGAGCTGGCTCAGAGAACAGGACTAAACTATGTGAATGTTGGTGATTTGGCACAGGAGTGTAAGTTATTGTTCTTTGAAATAAAAGTTTGTTGTTTATTTTTAAGAATTCGTTTTTAAAAATATATATACTTTTTCTCTTTAGGTCAGTTGTTCGAAGGATTTGATGAAGAATACCAGTGCCCTATATTGGATGAGGACAGGGTATGTACTATTGTAATGGATCTAATTGTTCCCCCTTTAATTGGATGATGTAGTCACAGAATTTGTACAGTGTAATCTTGAACAAAATACATTTTATAGTGTTTTATTAGATAGGGGTATGGTATTCAGCAGGTTATTGAATCCGCACTGATCACCATTTAAAAGCAAATCCAACAGGCTGCACATAATAAAACATAATGTTAAAGACAATTTCATTGTTTTAGGTTGTGGATGAGCTGGAGGACAGAATGGGAGATGGAGGCGTGATTATTGATTACCATGGCTGTGATTTCTTTCCTGAACGCTGGTTTGACATTGTTTTTGTCCTCCGCACAGACAACACCAATCTCTACAATCGTCTTGAAAGCAGGTTTGTGTTCATAACAGTTAACAGCAATGTTCATTACATATGTGATATTTCAGTTTAGGCCTTTTTGACTACTTTCTTTATCTTTAAAATAGATCTGGGATGAGCAACACAGCGAACATTTGAGGAATTTTTTTATTTTTTTTAAATCATCCTAGGGTAGATAAAAGTTCCCCTTATTGGAGAAGAATTTATATAGCATATTAGGACAATCTTAGTGATTAAGGGCCTAATGTACAGTTCAGCAGTCATTTACGTACTGTGTGGCTGTATGCTTCCTGTTGCTGTGATTTAAAAATATATATATATCTTTCATATTCAGAGGATACACAGGAAAGAAGCTCCAGGACAATGTGCAGTGTGAGATTTTCCAGACTATCTATGAGGAAGCCATGGAAGCCTACAAGGACGAGATAGTCCACCAGCTCCCCAGTAACACTCCTGAGGACCTGGAGAGGAATCTGGAGCAAATTGTTCAGTGGAGTGAACAATGGATGAAAGACAACAATTGACATGAGACATTATATGTGAAAGGCTCAAACACTTTTTGAGTTCATGTCAAAGTAGACAGACATCACATTTCATAGTTATTGTTCCCTTGCTTCCAAAATGAATGAATACAGTATTTAAAAGAGCCTCTTTCTGTTGATTAGTTTTATTTTTTTGATTAAATTATCAAAGAAAAATGTACATTCTTTGATAAATGATTGTTTAGCTGCCACCAAATACCAGAAACATTTTACATCTGTTAGTAAGTGGAAGTTAGGATCAAATCTAATTCACAAAAATAATGGTAAATTACATGGGTGTTTCTCCTTAAAAGATGGATCACAAGTACATAATTAGTTTATACTTAACATAATTAGATTAATTTGGCAACTCTTAAACGTAGCTACACCGTATTATTTCTAGTCGGAAAAAAAAGTCACTCATGATGGAGTCAGTTTTATTCACTTTTTTATCAGTCATTTAAAATTGCAGTTTCTATTGTTGCTTTATAGTTTTTATTTTCTCTCTTATTCTCTCCTTTAATGCTCTATCAACAATCAAACCATCATATCTACTTCTAAAATTCCTGGATGATCCAGTCCCTCTGGCATATCATCAAGTGCAAGGATAAAAATAAATCTGAGAATAATGAAAGAAACTAAGATTTATGTTGCCTCAGGTTGGTGCTGTGCAATAAATGGCTTTTTTTTTTGTGCAAATTCGAAAAGACGGCAAAAAAATGCAATTAAAGTAGACTGATCCCTTGTAATTGGAATAAGGTGGCCACATTAACAATATTCAGTGAGTGATTAACATTAAATGTAAAATTCTCAAATCATGTTAGGCTGCTGTGTTTTGCCTAATCTTACGAGTAGTAAATATTAACCGTTTATTTTGTCATTAATGGCCTTTTGTACATTCACGGTACAAACAGTGCCGTCCTCTAAAAAAAAAACCCACACAATTTGTGTTGATGGATCAACTGATTTTTCATAATGAAGTGTTTCATCTAGCGTTTCATCGTTTTCTTGTCAAACTGGTTTGAATCGTGACATCACACACTGGGGCAGGACAAGTCACGTGATCGATTCCCCTTCACCTGCAACTGGCGGAAGACAGGTGTAAGTATCGGTACCAGGTAAGACGGCGATGTTTTTTAAATAAAATTAATATTTTTAGGCAAAAAATATGTAGTCTACACTCCCTAATCTTGAGTGTAGAGAATAAATACGCTCTTACAGTGCAAAATTAGTTCGTTTATTCATTTAGGATGACTTCAGGGCTTGTATGCATATTTCCGTTTTATTTCTTACGTTCTTTGTTGACAGGCTGGTTTCAAACCGCGTTAAGATCATGTCTTGCAACGCATATTTTGTGCCATTGTTTCTATAAAGTCACATTTTTGCTAGATTTTTAAAGTCGCTTTTAATCTTGTTTGACCAGTGTGTAACTCGCTTGTTTATTTTTATTTCAGGTTGTTTTGTAAGGGGAAAAACACGGTTTTAAATTCACCCTGTGAGGCAATGTAACTACCGTACCCAGGTAAAACAGTTACTGAGAGTTTTGTAGTATACAGTATGCAATGTTTTTATGCATATATCAGAATTTTAATTGTGCGTTTTTATAGTGTAGATCATATTGTTGTAATTCCTACATTGACCAAAATATAAAAACAATTGATTTGAATGGTTAAATGTAGTATAAATAATATTCACCATGTTGGTTATAATAGGCCATGGCATAACAGTAATTATTGGCTTATTAATATCAGATAGAATTTAAATATCAATGAATCCTTGCTTTTATGTTTGTAAAAGATGTGCAAATGGCATGATGTCTGTTTGTATGTGACACAAGACACTATAATAATGTGGATAAACTTTCTGATCCTCAGTTCGCTCAGCTGCTAGAACCATTCCCATGTCTTTTGGAAACGGGTCAGCGTCCCGCTTTGATCGGGTCCGCGATATGCCTCACTATGATCAGGTGCCCATCGGCTCACTGCCGTGGGGTCAGCAGGCTCCTTACCCACTCGGCAGTGAAATGGCAGCATCTAGTTATGACAGTTTACCACCACCGCCTCTCCCCGAAAACCCTCCTGTTGGCCCAGATTTCTACCCGAGTGATGTTGAAGACCAGGTGGATGATGCCATGGACATCAAACCCGTCCGACGCTTCATTCCTGACTCTGTGAAGAACTTCTTCAGAGCGAGTGGCAACCGAGGCAGCAAGAAATGGACCTTTCCACCACCACCACCTGATGTGAACACCACCACCGAAGGCGTCCTGTGCTCTCCTCCACACTCACGTGCACCCTCACCTACAGCCCCCAGCTCTTACCTAGACCCTTATGGAGGGTCTGGAGGCAGCTACAATTCAAGGAAGGAGCAGGCAACGTTATTAGGGGAGCCGCTGGAATCGGTTTCTGGACGCTCTTTGCAGACGGCTATGACTTACAGTGAGAAGGTGGAGGAATACAATCAGCGCTACGCATATATGAAGTCCTGGGCTGGTCTTTTGCGCATTTTGGGATGTGCAGAGTTGCTTTTGGGGGCTGCTGTTTTTGCATGCGTCTGTGCATATGTGCACAAAGATAATGAGTGGTTTAATATGTTTGGTTACTCCATGCATCAGATGTATGGGGGTATGTATGGGGGAACATCAATGGGTGGGATGTACGGAGGAACTGGAATTTCCTACTCAGGACCCTTGACTCCTTTTGTTATTGTGGTGGCTGGAGTGGCCTGGATAGTGACTGTCATTCTAGTAGTGTTAGGCATGACCATGTATTATCGTACCATTCTACTAGACTCCAGCTGGTGGCCAATCACAGAGGGTGTGATAAACTTGGTGTTAGCGTTGCTCTACTTGTCAGCTGCAATTGTGTATGTGCGAGACACAGTGCGTGGAGGTCTCTGCTATTATCCACATTTCAACGCTGGGCCCAACGCGGGGTTTTGCCGAACAGAGGCTGGACAGAATGCTGCCATCATCTTCCTCTTTCTCAACATGCTGTTGTATCTCGTGGGAGCAGGCGTGTGTCTGAAGCTGTGGAGACATGAAGCTGCAAGGATGCGCAGAGAGAGAATGGGTCAAGATGTAAAGTTCAAATCATTTGTTAATTGAAATTGATTAACATAAAGTGAAAAAAGAATGCTCATAATGATTTTCCCATTTTAGTAATAGCAGTAAATGATCTGAAGCGTAGCTAACAAAATCTAATTTGCTTGCTTTTCTGTTCTTATTCGTATTTAGATGAAATCAGAAGGACTTCCGCTCAATATGGTAAGCCGTTGAATTTTAATATTAAGAAGAACATTTTCAGATTTTAAAATCATTGTTGTAATGTACTATTTGTAATCTCAGATTGGTGCTGGCTCAAGTGTCTCTGTGCCCATCCAAACCGCTCCAGTAATGGCCAGTCCAGAATCTTATGATGGCACACCTGCCAACCCAGTTATGATGGAACCAGAGATCTTAAGAGGTCATATTCCTGCTGGCCACATCCCCAAACCTGTGGTCATTGCAGACTATGTGGCGTGAGTTTCAAAGAATACTTATGTTAACTGAAATCAGTTAATTAATTCAGGCTACTTCATGAAATATATAAACTCGATTTTAATGAAGTTCAGACACTAGCCACATATTTAGGACTGGTTATTGTTACCTCATGCTTTTTTAATCTCTTATCCCTTTTGCATCTGAATGTTCGGTCTAATCTTTCTCCTCACAGGAAATATCCCACAATCCAGTCTGATGAGGAGAGGGAGCGATACAAGGCTGTGTTTAATGATCAATATGCAGAATATAAAGAGTTGCATGCTGAGGTTCAGGTCTTAACGCAGAAGTTTGAGGAAATGGATAATCTGATGAGGAATCTACCACAGCAGCCTTCCAGTCAAATGGTAATTGTTTGAAACAGCAAATTCTTTCATAATTATTATACTTATATTATTTGAGAAACTACATGGAATATTTGTAATTGAAAATTCATTTGTGACCATTAAAATTAATTAGATAAGACTCAAAGATGATTAAAACCCTGTGACCAATCACAGTACAATTCCTTTATACATTTGTCTAAATACATTTCTCTAAAATATTTGTATTGAAACAGAAATATTTTAGATATTAATCTTGGTTTTCCTCCCACAGGAGCAAGAGAGAATCAATAGCATTATTCAAGAGTATAACAGAAAAAAGGCTGTAAGTACTGTTTAATACTGTTATCTATCTATTCTACTTCTAGGAGTTTTAAAGTAATACACAGAATACATGTTAGGTATTTTACTTTTCCCAGAAAAGCTAAGCCATGACCTATGTTCTACAAGTTTCTTTGACCCATTTCAAAACCTTCATCTGCCTGTTGCCTTTCTACATTCTTTAGTCTTTGCAAAAGAATGACATAGTATCTGTCTCCGTTTGAGTGCCACAAACAATAGAAACTGAAAAACTGGAAATGTTAGGGGGACATAAATGGAACTATTGAAATGTTTACGTACTTCCTGTGTATGTGTGTGAGTGCACGCCAGAGATTACTTTACGTGTTTCTGGTTGTAGGACCCGACATACCAGGAGAAAAGGGAGAGATGTGAATATCTGAAGAGCAAACTTGCACACATAAAGCAGAAAATTCAGGAGTATGACAAAGTAATGGACTGGAATGATGGTTACAGCTAAACAGAACTCCATTATACTTTCTTCAAAGAGGGTCCCAGAAAAGAAACAACTGGCCGAAAGAAAACTGTCCATGGCTATAACTTCAGGAATTAATGGAGTTTTGGTTTGGTCTTGGTTGGTATTGAAATAATTTCATATTGAATTCAATAGAGCAGGAAAGTACACCGAAGGACACCTACCACTTTAAACCCAGCAGTGAAAATGTCACCTTTATTACTGATATATCATGTGGAGCAACATCAGCAATGTTTTGATCATATATATTATATATGATATATATTTCTATATAACTTTTTTTATTTTAGAAGTAGGTCATTTGAAGGAAATCACTGGAGTCTTTTAGCTTCCTGTAGTTAAGTGGAGATATAAATCGCTCTCAAAATGGTATTCGTTTAAATAGCAGTATCTCTATAATGATCCTAAATTGCTTGGTATATTTATAGTTTTCCTAGTTTAATTTTCACTT